CCTAAACCCTAAACCCTAAACCCTAAACCCTAAACCCTAAACCCCTAAACCCTAAACCCTAAACCTAAACCCTAAACCTAAAGCCCCGAATACGGCTAACTATAAAGGGGACGTTATAGCCAGTTAAGGTAAGTAAGGCGCGGCCTTCGTCGCTGTGTACGAAACGGGTAAAAAGAGGGCTTCCCACTGGAAATAGACTCTGTAAAACACTACCTCGAGGACTAGTATACCGTACAAGAGAGGTATTCCCTCTAGTATCCGGGGAGGTTATAGGCTATCTAAATACAGCTCCAGTCTAGATATACCCCTTATAGAACTCAATCAGCTATTATAGGGTAATAGGCTACCTACCGACCGGGTCAACGTTACTATTAACTAACCCCTATAACCTAGTAAACGCAGCCTAAGCTTTGTGTATATAAGCTTATACCCGAGTATAAGGACTAGGGGGGAGGTTAGGACAGGGGGGGCGGGAGCTAGTAGGGCGAGGCCTAGATTGTACGAAATAAAGTATTAGTAAATATTCTGATTTAAACAAAGGTCTCACTAGAAGTAGGAAGTAGGAAATCGATATAGGATAATATAGGATATAGCTGTAGGATAAATAGGCTTCGTATAAAGAAGATATTTTAATAAAAATAAAAATAAAAGTGAAATTTGAGATAAAGAGAGAGAGAGAGAGAGAGAGAGAGAGAGAAGTAGGAGGAAAACTAAGGATTAAATATCTGCTGAATAACAATAGAGGAGATTGCTGAATTAGGTAATATTGTTACCTTATACAGCTGTAGAAACTAAATATTACTACCCGAGGTATTTATTGTACGAGATATCAATAATATAATAAGATATTAACAATAGGATAAGGTATAAATAATAGGACAGGGTATTAACAATAGAATAAGCTGTGAATAGACTATAAACCAAACAATCTTAACAGTCCTGCCTTAGGCTTAAATCGTACGAGATATCACCAATAGACGATATATAAACAATAGGATAAGGTATCAACGATAGAATAAGCCGTAAATAGACTATAGATCAAACAATCTTAACAGTCCTACCTTAGGCTTAAATCGTATAAGATATCACTAATAGACGATATATAAACAATAGGATAAGGTATTAACAATAGAATAAGCCGTGAATAGACTATAAACCAAACAATCTTGATAGTCCTACCTTAGGCTTAAATCGTACAAGATATCACCAATAGACGATATATAAACAATAGGACAAGGTATCGCCAATAGGACAATATATAGATACACTATAAATTAAAATATAAATATACTATAGACCAAATAATTTTGGCAGTTATTCTGAAGGTATTGACTGTACGAAAATATTAACAATAGGACAATATATAAATATACTATAAATTAAAATATAAATCTACGAATAATCCCGACTTAAAATATATATTTTAAAATAAAGTCGAAGAGTACTGGCCCTTAGTACGGTCGTACCCTATCAAAAATAATTCCGATTTTCAATCGGCCACTACACCTTTTTAACTTGATCAATTACTCTAAAATTTGAGGACTATAATCTTGATAGTATAGAATAGAACTTTACAAATTTTGAGCTTCGTCCTCGTACGAGAAGCTTTTCCAGTCTACTTATGAAAAGTATTCCAGTCTACTCATAGCCCCACTTTTTCCCACTATAGTTAAGACAAAGTCCTAATTCCAGTCTACTAGACTGCAACCACCCCCATGGGATAGAGAAGGGGTAGATTTATAGCTAGTTCCTCTAGTTTAGTAAAGGGATAGATCGATTAATAAACTATCTTTACTACTTAAGTAGACTTAGTAAGATTTTATAAATAGTTTATAGTAAATAGTAAACAGTAAATATAGTATAATATATTAATATATTATTATATAATCCTCTATATCTAATACCTATATACTTATATAGTAATTAATTAATTATATCGTACTATAGAAGTAGTATATATATTATAAAGATATAGTATAGATATATATATATCGAAGTTTAGACTAGGAATTTAAATATATTAATCTAAATCTATTAATATCTCTCTTTCTAGACTAGCTATAAAGAATCTAAATAGTATATTTTAGGTTTTTAATATAATTATCTAATATCTAATTATCTTAGGAATAGTTAAAAAAATGATATACTTTCCTAGTGGCCGCTATTTAAATTACGTTCCTGTGTAAATACGAATACGATATTATATTTTTACTACTAGGTTACTAAGATAAGATAGATACCGATTTATAAGGGCTCCCGTATTGAAATCTACGGTCGCACCCCACCAAAAAAAAAGATCGATTTTTAACTTAATATTTAACTACCTTCCCGGGTAGCTCTCGATCCCAAATTTTGATAGTAGCTTTATATATAGTTAGAATAGAACTCTATAAATTTTCAGACTAGTCGGAGTACTCTAGACCAGGTATTTATAAGTCAAAATACCTGGTCCCCCCCCCACTTTCCGGGAGCCAATTAAATCACCTAAAATCCGCATACCTACCAGGTATTTGTCGTGGAATAGAGTTAGGATTACTAAGCCCTGCCTTTAGCAATCCCTCTTGCTGAGAGCACTTCCTTGGCGAGGCCAGGGACTCGGCCTCAGGCACCAAGAAGTAAGCAAACCCTGCAAACTGCTTGGGAGCACACCGCCCACAACAACACATCACGTGATGCGTTTCCCCACGGCTTTCCTAATCCGGTCACCCCCGCATTCTAGTGTACTGTGATGCATACATGTTCTATCCCGCACTCCCTCGCATCTCGGAAAGCCACGGTTAAAGCCTGTGCGGAGCTGCTATCGTGCATATGTTGTAGGCTCTTTTAAAGACATCATTTCCCCATTCTATTTGCCTATATTCAACCAGTCTAACACTACTCTGCCCACTTACACTCGGTAATTTTGGCCCATCAAACATCATTGTCTACGTATGTTAACACTTATCTCTTCCCATTTTTCTCAGGTATCGAACAAAATATCGCATTTATCAAAAAAAAATGAGTCTCCGAACAGCTTCCCTCTCGCGGAGGGTGACTTGCTTCCATGCGCCCGCAGTGGACCTCCGACGCTGGCCGTCCTGCAAGGTCCGAGCTTTCTCGATGACCACGCATCGTGATGCGACGTGGGGGTTTATTGGACTGGGACAGATGGGTATGTTATGAGATCTGCAACGAGGACCCGAGGACCTGAGGATCCACGGAACTCGGCTATACAGTGAACCGCGAGCTGTTCGTATTGCATTTACCTAGCTGACTGTCCCAGGCTATCATATGGCCAAAAACCTGCGCGCCAAGATCCCCGTATCTGATACCTTGATCATACGCGATGTCAACCAAGATACCATGAATCGATTCGCTACAGAGGCCCGGGAGACCACACAAAGCAATGGTGCGGGCGTCAATGAAGGCCAAGTTGAGCTCGCTCAGAGTGCGCGCGAGGTTGCCGAGAAATCGGTATGTGATTATCTCCAGTACGGGGAGACTGTCTGATACATCTGCTTATTTCTGTCTTCCATTTAGATTGTTATGGTTACCAGTCTCCCGGAGTCTCGGCATGTTATTGATGTTTACCACTCTATCCTCAAATATGGAGCTCTACCACCGCTCGAGCAAGAGCGTCTCTTTGTCGACACATCTACTATTGACCCCGTCGTATCCAAGGATATCGCAAAAGCTATCCATACCACTCAAGCCGGCCGCTTTGTGGACGCCCCTGTATCTGGAGGTGTGGTCGGTGCTCGTGCAGGAACGTTGTCATTCATGTTTGGTGCCTCTTCAGAGAAACCAGAACTACTCGAACGTATTCGTGGTGTACTCGCTTTGATGGGTAAAAAGGCCTGGCACCTTGGTCAGCCTGGTGCTGGTGTGTCCGGTAAGCTCGCAAATAACTACATTTTGGCTCTAAATAATATCGCCACCGCCGAGGCTATGAACCTCGGTGTTCGCTGGGGACTCGAGCCCAAGATCTTGGCGGAAATGATCAATTCGTCAACCGGTCGTTGCTGGCCCTCTGAGGTTAACAATCCCGTTCCTGGTGTCGTCGAGACAGCCCCCGCGTCACGTGGATATGAGGGCGGATTCGGGGTAAGTCTCATGCATAAGGATCTTCGCTTGGCTCTTGCTGCTGCGGAGCAGTCTAATACTCCTCTTGCCCTGGGTACTCAGGCTCGCGAGGTGTATAAGGCTGTTGAGGAGGAGCACCATGGTAAGGATTTCTCGGTGGTTTACAAGTGGTTGCAGGAGAAGTCTCAGTAAATTCTTGTCGTCTTAAGCGAAGTTTCCTGATGGGCATTGTCCCTTGAGCATCTCCCCCATTTCAGTTCCGCCTGCTGCCTTTTCATAGATATGATTTCGGGATATAGAAATGTGACGTTTAGCATTCTTCTCAATGTGTTTATATCTCTTTGGAGCATATACAATAGTTCTCCTTTCCTTTTTCTCTCATCCTCTCTCTGTTCTTTTGCTCTCATATGAATCAATGCATTGTTTTTCCATAGCGAGTCCACTGTAGATTTCCATATATATTACGCTACTTGAAAGGTGCACTAGATTATAAATTTCAACTTACAAGGATAAAAATCAACGCCTAATTGGCTATGTCGATTCTTCATATATCGACTGTGAAGATAGAAAATCCACGGAATCATACATACTCTTCCGCATAACCCATTTTGGGTCGAAACTTCATAACCCAGGCCCAACCGAGACCGAGTGACTGGGGCGCCATAAAACCCAGTATAGGCCCAGTTCGACCCAGTTTCTACATAAAAAGGGGTCTTGACAGTTGTAAACCAGCTAAATAAGCAGAATTATACACATAATTAGCGTGTTTGCTTAGTTCGTAACCCAATTTGGGGCCCCAGACCCAGTACTGGGTTACCCAGTCCGACACAGATCCATTACTGGGTTGGGTCTGGGTTTTACTGGGTCGTGCGGAAGACTAACCATACATTCTTTACTTCGCAGGCAAACCTATCTATTAGTACTTTAGGATGCAGAATATGATAGTAAGCAGTAGTATAACAGCTGCACACGTCGCTCTTGGTAGCACGGTCCGTGAAGCATTATATTTGATGAAGCTGCTACACCATATGAATTCCCAGCATAAGATTCCAGTTGGTCAGTGACAACGCAGTCACCATCTTGGAGAAATATAAATTCACCAAAGATACCAAATGGGTGGATGCCAAATATCAATCTGTGAAAGGCGATATGAAGAACCGGGTTGAAAATTCGAACCATTGAATACAAAGAAGAATCTAGCTGATGCACTTACAAAACGCTACTAAAAGTGGCATTTGGAAGATTGAGAAACTCTTTGGTATAAATGGTGTCAAAATTATGAAGAGATGATGCTTTGAAACTCCATTTTATGCATGATCCTTTCTATGCAAACCAGAATATTTTTTTTACCATGCATGATCTTTGATGCTCAGTCTAGAGGTATGTTTTGGATGATCCCATCCCCCATATATTGTTTATTGACACCGCGAGTAGTTGTCTGATAGCATGACCTGTATAAATAATTTGGCAACAATTTCTTCTCCTAATTTCTCCCTTCCATAGGAGCAGTAGCCTCCACAACAATTCATGGATTTGCGTTGTTTTCTCTATGAATCCTACAGGGGACTCACTATGAAGAAACGATTTATGATGCCTATCAAGGAGAGCAAACGAACGGAGAAAGCAAGAAAGAGAGGGAAGAGAAGAGAGATTGGGGCTATCTATCTCCAGGATCTGTCACATACTGGGCCCCAGTTGGGTGCCCCAGGCATCTGACACATTTGGTTCCAACTTTGGAAGGTTTGTTCGCTTAGCCAGTAATCAGCAACTCAGGTGGGTTGCATTATTTGGTGGATTATCTACAATATGGATGTATGTAGTGAGCTTGTATATTTTATTTGATTCCCAGACCTAGCATGTAATATATGGATTTATTCTCTATAGGCAGCGAGAACTCGCACAATAGTCTAAATTCCCTTACGGATAGCAAGTATATACTTAGATGAGCCGTGAAATCAAAGGGATATAGTTACATAAAGCTATTTTCGGCTCTATGAGTGATTGTCAGAAAAAAAGGCTGTACCAAACATAAACGGCGATTTTGTGGTATGGAACTAACTGGCTCCATCTGTACTCCGTACATAACATCCATCTTTGTAGACTTCTCTGTGGGATTTTTGGTCGTAGATTTTTCGAGTAAAATGGTGGGAAAAACTACAGCCATTTTACCACTAGACTAGACTTCCGCACGACCCAGTTTGGGTCGAAGGTCTCGACCCAGAACCCAACCCAGTCTGGGTCTGGGTCGAAACCTTATAACCCAGGCCTAACCCAGACCCAGTGACTGGGGCCCCAGAAAACCCAGTATAGCCCCAGTTCGACCCAGTTTCTGTATAAATTATGGTATAAATATTTAAATAATATACTGTTATTTTCCCCTGTTATGGTTTCTACATCGAAATACTACACTCTCTACCAATAAGGAAAAGGAAATTTTAAGAAATTACCTCGTTCTTCAAAGCAATATATCTGGTTCAAGATTAATTACTTCTTCAAATACTTTATTTTATATAGAAAGGTGGTATGTGTTGGCTGCTGGTTTTCTTAAGCGTACGATAGCATTCTATTTAAAATACAAAGTATACCCCAAGTTGTAGATATATATATTCAATATATATCAATATAATATATATTTTTATCTATAGAGTAAAATAATTTTTGAATTTATTTATTTCTCTTCTTCTGTTTAATTTTAGAGCTTATATAACTATAGATAGATATCTAGTAAACCTTTATATTCAAAACTACTTACTACCTCTTAATCTACTTGGTATATACGACTTGAAGGGAGGGTAGGAAGAAATATTTTGAGAAGGATTAATAGAACTAGGGTGGGAATTGGGGTTTAACTGGGGTTTTACTGGGTTTACTAGGTTCTTACCGGGTTAAATAGGTTCTTACTGGGTTCTTACTGGGTTAAATAGGTTATAACTGGGTCTTGACTGGGTTATCTTAGGGGTATTTCTTTAGACCTATATAATTTTAGTATAATAGACCAATCAACAAGAGTAGGATGATTTACTATATTTGATATATCAATATTCCTAGACACTTCTATAACTTTAGTGTATTTCTTCCTTTGTACGTTAAAGAATTTCTCCCCTTATATCCCTTTGTATATATTATATATCATTCTTATATTATATCTTAAAGCTAACTTTCCGACTTTATATCGTCGCTCTATAGTGGTGATCTTAACGATCTCTTATATATTTCAACTGGATAAGTCACACTATCCGTAAGTTAACATACAATCGACTCAAACTTCCGAAGACCAGATAATCCCCTCCTAATCCCCCCTTTATTGAAACGCGTTAGACCCGACCGTAGGAAAGGGTTTATTCTATACGATACAATATTATATAACGATTTTGTGGACTAGTGGTTAGAGACTAACTACGGGAGGAAAAGTAAGCTTAAATAGGATTCGAACCGCTATACAGAGATCTAGAATAGCTACTATTAGGTAGCTTAGGGTATTAATAGCGCACTAAAGGTTATATATAAGCGCTGTAGGAAGATCCTAGAGTATCCTTATACACTAAGCCCGAACAGTATAGGTAAAGCGCAGTATTATAGTATATTAACTATCCAGAAACATCGGAAAACGGCTGGTTATTTACAGTCGGAAAAGGGGAAGAAAGCAGAGATTATAAACTTCCTACAAAGAGAGGTATATTTTATATTATAAAACTAAGTAACTATACTAATTTATTATTATTCTAGGGAGAGGTTTCAGTAAGTATACCCTTCTTATAAGAAGATTGGGAGGAGGATCTCCTCCAATTTCTTACTCTTAACCGGCTCCTATTCTATCTGATCGAGTATCTATTATTCAAATATATTATCAATAAAGCTCGTTCCGCCCTATCCCCTCCAGTGATCCTATCTACCGATACTATCCGTCGCCGATTAGGTAGTCTAGTCAAAGACCGGTAGCAGCGTATCCTTCGTACGCTACCTTCTGGCTCAAAGATATCTATTGCGCTTAACTGCTGGATATCTCTATTCTCGCAGGTATTTATAGCTATTACTGGCTATTTTATTAACAGTGATTGGGTATATCGTGAGGTACTACTTAGGTTTAAGCCGCTTTATAGTATATATACCGGCTCTTACCTAAGTAGTGTTCTTATAGAAACCCTAGTGGAGTATAATATTGAAGATAAAGTATTTAGGTTAATAACAGATAATATATCAAACAATAAGATATTAGCTACTGCTCTCTAATAGGCTTTGTTAGATAATACTATTATCACCCGAATACTATATCTTACCCACGTTATCCAGCTCAGCCTAAATCAGCTTCTTACTCGGATCAAGGCAGTTCTATTAAATAAATCAGCCGAGATAAGGTGGATAGAGAAGCAGTTAAGGCTAGCCTAAGAAAATACGAAGCAAAGTCAGATCTCCTCTACACTAAACAAAGTCCGTTATCTTGCGATTTACGTCAATATAAGTCCCTAGCGCAGAGAGATCTTTTACAATCTTCAGATAACTAATATCAAGATCGTTCCAATCTAAGATATAAAGACACGATAGAATTCTACGTTCCTTATACTTCGCTGGGTAAAGAGGCTACGTGCTATCTTCTCTTTATTCTGTACAGAGTATGATTATAAGGAGATACTACTCAGCGAGTAAGAGTGGCGTTAGATCGACTATCTTCTTTGTATTACCGAGCCCTTCTTTGATTATACAACACAGCTATCAAAGACTCGAGATATCACTGCCCACTATATATTCAAGATCTACAATAAACTATTCGATTATCTTAAGCGATCACAGGTACAGCTACACCGAAAGTGTATCCTATAGAAGAAACAGATACTAGAGGCCCTTGAAGCTAGTCGGTCTAAGCTTAATAAGTATTACTCCTAAGCTAATGATCTTCGAGGGAATATCTATACAATCAGTACAATACTTACACCGGTGAATAAATTCAAATTCTTCCTCTCCAGTGATTGGGATCAGAAATAGCGAGATACCTATCGACTTGCTTTTAAATAAGCCCTTATTCTATATTAAGTATAAGTTAGAACAAGCAGTCATAATCTACAAAGCTATCTAACGATAGCCTATCTAAGCTTAAGGCTAGAGGAGATACTTAATAGAAGGGATATATAACCACGAGCTATTACTGATGAAATCAGTCAATATCTTGATAGCGGTAAGTAAATATAAAGAGTATA